CTTGAGAAAAGGCAGAAATAAATGCCCCAAAAAACATAATAGTGGAGGCAAAATACCACACAAATACAATCAATCATCTGGGCGTTGGAGCCATGAAAAATCATAGTGAGAGTGAGAATTTAGGCACAGATTATTCAAAATGAGTGATGTCTTTATAATGTAGAATTTAATGCCCAAATATACTTACTGTCTTCTTAGAGCCAAAATGGAAAAACGTAGTATCTTGAAAATATTTTTATTCTTTAAAAACAAAAAAATATAAAGAAGGCAACAAGCAATCCATGAATGTGTTTGCACTTAAAATATGTTTCTCTTTGTGCACCATTGAAAAATAAAAGTATAAGATCTTTTCTGTTTCACAAAATAAATTCCTTATCAAGCTATTCCATTTAAATGCCTGTCAACCAGCTTTAAGAATCCACACACACAAAAAAATTTTTTGGTGTTGGCAGAAAATTTTCCTATTGCAAGCCTTAGTATTTGAGAAAGAGACAGAAAGTAACTAACTAGCTCACTAGTTTCAGGACAAAAAAAATCAGTGCAGAACTAATCTATCGTTATGCTGAGCTTCACAACTTCTCTGCTATAATCTAATGACTAGATGGCAATAGTTTGTCCCACCTTTAAATTTCATAGTAATCTGCCTGTGGTTTATATTAGATGTGATGTTTATGCTTGTTCTTGAAATCATTTCAAAAGTTATATAATGTTATAAGTGAATTCTAAGAATTTGCAAGAAAAATCCTTTTCCAACTGGGCTCAACAGATTATTTTTTTTTAATATTGGAAATATATTTCCTATATACTTCTAAAGATCTTAAGAATAATTGCTGTACATCAAGGAAAAAAAATTTTTTTAAATGTCCCTTCCAGGGAGCTGTCATTTAAGAAAGGAGATACTGTCTACATCCTCAGGAAAATTGATCAAAATTGGTACGAGGGAGAGCACCATGGGAGAGTGGGCATTTTCCCAATCTCATATGTAGAGGTAAGTCTTTCCCCTTCTCTCTTACATGGTTGCTGTTTCTAAAGTCATCACAGGTCAAGAATAAGTCATTATTTTTCCTCATAGAAACTCATGCCTCCTGAAAAAGCACAGCCTGCAAGACCACCTCCCCCTGCCCAGCCTGGAGAAATCGGAGAAGCTATAGCCAAATATAATTTCAATGCTGACACAAATGTGGAGCTATCGCTGAGAAAGGTAACCTAGTCGTTTTCTTCATCCGGTTCATTTGAAAGGCAGTATATTTTCAAAAACAAAATAGGTTATCTTCGTCCTCAGACATTTTTGTGTTTTCTCCTAAGAAAAGGACAAAGGACTCCCTAACGCCACCCTGAGTCACTGTTTCCTATTGCTCCCTGTGTTCTTCCAGATGAGGTCCCCTGCCGGACACAAAGCTTCTATGAAAGACTTTCCCTCCATGGCTTAGCCTGGGAGGCCCCAAACCCTCTCCAAGGGGTGCCTTGGCCTGAATATCATGGTGTTATGATGTAGGAAAGCATCAAGAGGAAAAGTACTTTAATACACCTCAGAATATTGTTGTTCTGCTGCATTATTAGTCATTTAAAAAAAAAAAAAAAGGTTTCCAATACTTACTTTTATCTTGGAATCAAAGCAAGGTCCTAAAGTAATAAAGATATTTCTTCCTGGGGAGGATTTTGAGGACCCATCTATGCCTCATGACTGACCTAAATTTCACCAGCAACCTATCCAACTCCAGCATCTCTTCTTAACAATATCAAAAAGAACTCGTTAACTTGTTACTTTGCATAGCTGAGAATGATTAGATAAACTATTTTCATTGTTTGCTAAGCAATCACATACATTTGTTTGAGGTGGTAGTTGAGATGACAATATACATGTCTGCACACAACGCAGACCACATGGTAGTAACATGCAGGGTGGTAAATGCATAGCCAGGAGCAACAAAGGAAAATATCACCGTTCTTGTCCTGGGAGAACTTTATCTCATTCTTCCCTTTTGGTCCTAGTTCTGCATCACCAATTGATTCTCTTCTGTCGTCTAAGCTACAGCACAGCATTACATCAACTGTATTCAGTTGTGTTTCACACATTAGAGAGAAGCTTCTGCTAATGCAATTTATAGCTCAAGGGGTAGCTTAGCAACAGCCCAATCTTGGTGTATTACAGAGAAAGTCAGTGCAAATTAAGATTTAGGGAGATTTCATTTTTCTTTGCAATGTTCTGCTCAGTGATGGTGGACAGTCTATATAAACCATACAGCATTTTCGCAAAAAGAGAACTTTTGCCTTGAGTGCCATCTGAAGAAGGCCTCCCTATCATGCTCAAGTTTTGATTGTGTGTCGCCTCTACTGCTATGTCAGTGCAGTTGCCCAAACTTCATATTATTTGATGGATTCAACAGCAGAATTTTTACTGTTTAACCACATCTTGCCTATTTATTTCTGGGCCACATGTGGTTTTGAGTTTAAATTTAACCTGGGTTTTGCGGCATTGCCTTGATCACTGCAGATAGCAGGAATATTGATTGTAGAAAATTCTATTATTGCAAAGGCCAAGGGTTCTATAAAAAATATATAGTGACCACAATAGCATGGCCACCCACCAATCAGAATGGATCAGGTAGGTGTCGGTCCTGGCCACAGTGAAGGATTATCTCAAGTGCTATCTCTGCCCCATTTCATTATCTTCACTCTTTGTTACTAGTTAGCACATGTAGGTTAAAGAAGAAAAACGGTGTCCCATTCGACTTCATCCCTTCTAGAGGTGAATTTCTGCAACCGATGTCAGACACACTATCACGGAGAGCTGAGTTGCACTTTTCTGAAGCTCTCCCTTGAAACTGTCAGTGATAGGAAGATGCTACTGTCATTGAGACATTGCCTATTAAACTGTTCTGCTTTTTGAAATAACTTATGCAAGTCATTTCACGTAGTACCAACACAGATAGTATAAACTCACTCACATTAACCAAGCATCCTTAGGGAAGTCTCTGATGTAGTGATTGGGTGGTTAAATTGCATATGTTGATAAGCTATAATTTGGGAGTGAGCTCTGAGACTTTACTTGCATTCTCCTGACTTAAAAAAAAAGAAAAAGAAAAAGAAAAAAAAAAGCTGGAAGTATAAAACTTCCCCAAATGGAAAACTATTGTTTATCAGAAAACGTTGACAATTAGTTTTTTACATTATCACATCTCTATTTATAATGCATTTTTCTAATATTCCTTACAGGGAGATAGAGTTATTCTTCTCAAAAGAGTTGATCAAAACTGGTATGAAGGTAAAATTCCAGGAACCAACAGACAAGGCATCTTCCCTGTTTCCTATGTAGAAGTCGTCAAGAGGAATACATCCAAAGGTGCCGAGGATTACCCCGACCCTCCCATACCCCACAGCTATTCGAGCGATAGAATCCACAGCTTAAGTTCAAATAAGGTAAGAAGGCACTCACCATATTAGTATAACATTTAGGAGCTTGGAGTAAGATAATCAATAAGTGATTTTAAGGCATTGGACTAGAACATCACGTTTATTACAAAGCGGAAGATTTATGTGTTAGGTTTCTAAGTATGAGTGCAACATCAAGTCGATATAATTTGATTTTTCTTATGAGTGACAGCGTAAAGGTTTAATGCTTGATTTTGATAATTTCATTTTTCAAGTTAAAATATTGACAGAGAAAAAATTATTAGTATCATAAGACCCTATGTGATATATATCTGTGTACATACATAAATAGATTTGCTTTCTGAAACTCAAATTTTTTGAAGCTTGAGTTTTCTCTAAAGCTTGATTTTATTTATTTATATATATTTTATACAAATTATATATGTACATATGCATCTATACATAGATCGATAGATTCTAAAATGATTTATTTCAACAATACATGGTAATTCAGTTGAAAAAAATTCTATAAAAGTCTCAGGGGTTTTTAATATAGAAAGAGAGATAGAGTAAGATTTTTCAATTAAAGTCTATAAGTCAATTTGTCTATCTATTAGTTTGAATGGAAATTTCATTGGTTATTAGAAGTTCTCAAGTGTATTTTGTTAGTTTTAGGATAATTATGTGCCAGTTCTACTGTCTCACTAGAGCTAACAGCTAAGGATAATTATCTTTCTCAATATCTTGTCTAAAAGGAACTTTGCTTCCTGAACTAGTTAATTAGAAAAGGCTATTTTCTTACTTTCTTTACTCACAATGTGAATTTTTTTCTTAATTTTCTGTCGAATTATAATATAGTGTATTCTTTTTATAGGTAGGGTTTAGGAATTTCTTTCTCCTTTCCATTAATCTCCAAGTAGAAAACTTTAAATTACCAAGGAATTAGTTCCAAAATATTGTACTTCCTGACATTTAAATTTTTATTATGTTGCATAATTTACTAATTATTTTAATAAATAATTAAGATCAAGGCTAGGATGTGGGAAAATAAACCGTCCAGAGCTAGCAAAATAATAGACATATCAGACATGATTAAAGTATGCAGTCATTTCATATTCCAATGTAAGATCATTTCAAGATAGCATTCTCAGTGATCTAAAACTACTCCTTAAAAATGAGTCTTAGAAGAATTTTACATAAGTTAACAATATAAAAATCTACTATTTTAAGAGAAAGCATTTTTTAAAAGGGCTAAGGCTAGGCATTGTTTGTTTGTTTGTTTTCTACTCCTCTTTAAAGATGGGGTTTCAGTTGTGGGGTAATTACTCTCGATCCTTTATTATTATATAATGGAATGGTTTGGTACTATCCAATTTTGATAAATTGATTATAAAGTTTTCCAGAATCTTCTTCAGTATATTTACTTCACTACCAGAGTTTAGCATGTAGAGATCAACATCCTTCCTTCAGTAGTTCCTACTGTTAAATGTAAACATAACATGTATGTGGCTTACCCACTATTTGGTCATCTTAGAAGAACTACCAGATAAATTTCAAAGCAACTACACCTTCAAATAAAATTTTATAAGAAAGAATAAGCATTTATCTACAAAGTCTTATTTAAAATTTAAGAAATTCTTCCACGATGTCCTAAATAATATTGGCAGTGTAGTATTTTAGATCACAAAGTTTTAATATTTGTCGAATATGATCCAAATGTATTTTCAGTTTCCAAAGTTTTTTCTTAAAACACCAGATTTTACATTTTATAAATAGAGAAATGTACAAATTTTGCTAATAACTAATTTGTGTTTTATTCTCACTGCTGGGGAAAAAATTATGTTGAAAAGCTTCCATTCATTGTTTGAAAAAAATACTTAGTGGTTTTATCCCAACTGGTAATCTCTGCTATGATATCATTGGCTTAAGGAAGGAAACTTCTCAGTAGTGTTGAACTATGTGATTTTCAGAAAAAAAAACAACAACTATAATATACTCTAAATGATGAGTATATGAATGTTATATATCCTATTTTCTAACTGATATTTGCAAATAAAGGAAAGAACTCCTTAAGTGATTTATGAATCACACTTTGACTCACTCAAATCACATTTCTTGACATACTATGTTTTAGGGGATAGTTAAATGTAAGTTGATAACATTTCTGATTTTTCTGCTTTTAGTACAATAGCATCCAACCGTAATGCCTTTGGAAGAAAAGCTGATTATATAATTTTTGTATCATATGTATATTTTTGTGATATAGGTATCCTGGGATATTTAATTTGACTTTCTTTCGATAGAAACAAGTCATTATAAAGCTAAACACTTTGAATCTGTAAATTCATATTAGTGACTGGTGGTAATGACATCGGAGCAGTAATAGTGATAGGGGTAGTAATGACAATAATGGAATTTAAAGATCTTTGTTAGTCACATAATATTCCTGTTCATGAGAGTAAGCGAAAGTGGGAAGTAATAATCTTGAAGTATTATATGTCTCATGGACTTTCAAATTTATTATTGTGTTGCATAATATAGCATAAAATTAAACTCTGGCCAATAAGGGAACTTCTCTAAACCATCAAATGAGACTTAAGTCATTTCTATCTTGTTAAAAATTAAATATATACAGGGCTTGCTAGAAGTGTATCTATCTAATAACAGACCATATGTACAGGATCACTTTATATCAAATGCTAAGCAGCCTTTAGTCCTGAATCTTCTGTTAAAATGCTCACATGAGTTTTGTGACACTTTGTCTCACTTATCCTACCCCAGGATGACTTGACATCATAGTTCCTTTAAAAAAAAAAAAAAAACTGAATAAATTCTATTAATGCCCCCATTCCTATTTTAGGACACAGAAGTCAAAAGTTTAGCAGGGGATACAATGTGCACTGATACGCACGAAGGCCCCAGAGGGGACCAAGAGTGCTGAGTGCGTGAAGCCTTATCCTAAACAGCCTACTAGAAAGTGCATCTCCAAAATCTTCCTTGAAGATCTTTTTCTTTCCAAACCCAAATCATTTCCCTGGAAAGAACTAAAGTAAAATGTCATCCACCAGCCTCTCCTAAGGCCTTCGTATGTACAGCGTGTACCTGTCTTTGTAGTCCAGCGATAATTGATGCATGTATGAGAATGTTGCCAACTACTTTTAATGGATTTACATAAAAATTTTGTTTTGTTCGATACGTCCAGAATAAAGTGATAATATTAAGATGCAGAGAAGTGTATTTTTACTTCAGGAGATTAAGCTTCATAAATTATACCTCCACAGGTTTACATAAAATGTCAGTCTTTTGAGAGAGGATGGAAGTCCCAGCAGATTACTCTCTGTAGCATTATATGCTCCCTTTCTGTGTAATCATCTACTTTGGGTTTTTTTTTTTAACTTTGAAGTAGTAGTTATATGTGAGTTCAGTGTCATTCTGATCATGAAATATATTTTTCAGAACTTAATCATTTATAAATGTGTTGATGTATAATGGTGTAAAAATATTTTATGCCATATGTTAAAGTCCCTTGCAAACAAAAGTGAGAAAATTATAAAGTTCAAAAAATTTAACAGTGCTACAGGAAGGAAGAACACTAAACAAATTCAGGGATTAAAAAAAAAAGGTTTAATTATTGGTTTTCGTTTTACATTAACATTATTTCAGAGCTATTTCTACTATTAAGACAATATGGGGAAACCTAGTTTAAAAGAGGTAGTCTGTTAAATCTTTTAAATTTTACTGTCCTTTAATCTCCATGACAGCTTTATTTTGTCATCTGACATATAAGATACTTTCCAAATGCAAGGAGAGTTTCATTTTTTAGATAACGTTCTAATTAACATGCTAATGATTTTATGTATTTAAATTCAGCAAAATATCTTCCAATCTAGATCATAGAATAAATATTTTTTTCATTCACTACCATACCTTTCTTGCATTTCTCTGTCTCTGTGTTTTGATGCATTATTTTCTTGGGTTTGTTTTTTTTTTTAACTTCATAATCGCTGCTCATTTTTAAGTTGGCTTCCAGTGAACGAGCCCCTCCTCCCAGGCACAAAGCTTCACCTGACTCAGATAAAGGAGCTCTCCAGGGAATCACCCAGGAGTGGCTGTCCCTGACCGCCAAGAGTCCGCCGGCAAACCCTTTGACCCCAACACCACCTCCTTTTCTGGACAACTTCTTGGATGAATTAGAGAAGCTTGGTGCTTTAACCTTGTCAGATGACCAAGCCAAACCAAACATCCTAGAGGAGATCACCCTTGAAATTAAAGAGGAATCCTCAGTTCTCCTCCCTTTGCCTCCAGCATCTGTACCTGCCAAATCACCTTCCTTTCAACCACCTTTTCTCTGCTCGGGTGTCACCTCAACCACAGTCCAGCCTTCTGAGGCAATGCCACTCCAGGATCCCAGAAAGACAACTCAGAACAAGTGTGCAGATGTGACAAAGATGAGAAAAGTTTTTGCGGGCCTTGAAAAAATTCCCGAAGTCCTAGGTGATAAGTTTGTGGCCTCTGGACACACTGATGTGGGTCCCTTACCCCAAACTCTCCCTATCATTGGAGAGGAAGATGAGGATATCTGTGAGGGGGTTACGTCAGGCATCCAAAGAGGGCCAGAATCTCAAGAACCAGATGCTTTGTGGTTTGGCCATGATGGCACAGAGGTGACACCAAGCCTGCACATTGAAGAGGAGGAAGAGGAGAGGAAACCTGACTGCTTAGAATATGCAGTAACCACCTCCGCAGGTCCTAGAACCCCTAAGGAAGACAGTAATGCAGCTAAAACCATTAATGAGGTATTTTAATTTTGCCTAATTCCTGAAGAACTAACCAGTCTTACTACAATTAGCTAGTACAGTTAATCATATTAACAAACATCAATTTTAACATTGCTGCATTATTTTCTTGGGTTTGTTTTCCTTATAAGGTTTCTTATAAGGTTTCCTTATAAGAAACATAAGCACTTATAAGTCAGGTGGAGAGATGTATAGAATCACACCAAATTTTAATAAGATATAAATGTGTAATATATTCTATTATTTATTAAC